TGGATATTGAGACAAATATCAGGTTATCAGTCACTCAATCTTGATAAATGTTGGCTTTTGTTTTCTTTTCTCCCTGATGTTATACAAAAAAAAATTCCTATTTTTATGGAATTTTCATTATTCTGTTATATTTTTATTATGTACCTTTCATATTTATATCTACAATTTATTTTCTACCAATTTTTGTGAATGGTGTCAAGCATGTGCCAAATTCTACATCAAAAGAGAAATAACTGATAGATGAATGTGTAGATGGATGGAGATATCCATTTGACCCTGCAGCGTTTATTGAAACGACTCTCCAATGCCCAACTGTGCCACCATTGCAAGAATGAGCTGTCCATATACGTATGATTTTGTTTTCGAATCTCTAGTCAGTTTTATCATCTTTTGTTGTTACAGGGACTAATGCTATATTGTCTTTATTGCTGTGGTTGTGTCATAAGCTTGCTGTCTCATTAGTGCAAGTCCTTCAGATATTGTTCATCAAAATTATCTTGGCCATACGTGGTCCTTTGCATTCCATAGATATTTCATAATCATATTTTTAATTTATCCAGTAACACAATTTGCTAGGATTTTATTAGGATAGCATTTACATCATGGATCTATTTGTTGATATATGCTGATGTAGTCCTCTAATTCATAAACCCAGTATTTTTATCCATTTTGATCATTAATTTCTATTTGGTTTCTTTGTAGAGGTCTTTAATAATTTTTGTTTAGATATACTTGGGTATTTTTGTTATATATTATGCATTTAATTAAAATGCTTTATAAATATATGTTTCTGGTATATACAACGATGGTTTTTTGTGTATCTTTTTTATTCTTAGGACCTTGCTAATCTAATTATCCGGTAAAACTTATAGGTATATTCTTCTTGATTTTCTGACAAAAATACTGTTGCCTTTGAATAATTATTGTAATTTTAGAAGTGTTTTCAATATTTATGTACCTACCTACCTACCTACCTACCTATCCATCCATCCATCTACCCATCCATCCATTACATATGTATCATTGGTCTATCATCATCATAATCTTTAATCATTCATTTTGGTATACATGGCATTGCCTCACTGCATTGTCTAGGAAGTACAATACGATGCTTTAAAAATTAGCAGTGGTAATAAACTTCTTACTTTTTAACTACTTCAGAAGGAAAAGTTCTAACTCTTCACAATTAAATATGATTGCTGTCAAAGTTTAAAAATGCCCTTTATCAGATTTAGAAAGCTGCCTTTTCCCCCTAATTTTCTGATTTTTTTTTAAACTTTTTTTTTTTATTTAGTTATGATAGTCACAGAGAGAGAGAGAGGCAGAGACACAGGCAGAGGGAGAAGCAGGCTCCATGCACCGGAAGCCCGATGTGGGATTCGATCCCGGGCCTCCAGGATCGCGCCCTGGGCCAAAGGCAGGCGCCAAACCGCTGCGCCACCCAGGGATCCCAATTTTCTGATTTTTTATTGCAAGTAGAAATGGAATATTTTCAGATGTGTTTTATATATTTAATGACAATTTTTTATTCTTCTTTTTAAGCCATTAATGTTACAAATTATATTTGTTCATTTTCTACGTTTAAAAGATCCTTGAATTTTAGTAATCAAAAATTCAAAATGCTTTCTCCTATGAAAATAAACATTTTAAAATAGTTCAATAAGTATGTTTGACATAAGCTGTATTAATTATGTTCTTGTGTAGGATACTATTCACTATATTTTAGAATCAGCTTCAATTTGTAATGATGGATGGGTGTTGTTAGGGACTGGGATGACCAGGAGACTGGAGCCACAGTTCCCATAAAACTGTTCAGAGTGATTCTTACAGTAAACAAAAATCATGTCATAAAAGCAGTGATTATGTAAGCCTAGAAAGGTGCTTGAAAAGGCCCTCCCTGTGCTATTCATTTTGATTCAAAGATGAGTAATGCAGCTCTGGGATTACTGACAAATGACGGAAGGGTTACATATGTTTGAATGACAATGAGTAGAAATCAAACATTTGTTTCTTTCAACCATGAAGTGTCCCTTTACCTATTTAACTGGTAATAGGATAAGGGGGGAAGGGGACTGTGGAACAATTATTTTTTCATTGAAGGACACATTATTGGTCCTATAGTGATTATTTCACTTTTATGTATAGTATCTAGCCAGTTCCCAACTACAAGTGAATATACAAGTGGATTTTTTTTTTTTACAAATGACAAGGAAAACATAAATGGAAAACATAAAACAAATCCTATCAAAGGTTTTTGTAATTCTTGACTACTCTGATGTTTATTGTTACAGTTTATGTTACTTGACCGTTTCTTAAAGATTTGTGTAGTATTTAAGTTACTGAAGAGGAAAATATATAGGTTTACTTATGTCTTTTGATTTTTTTTTTTTAGAAAAGCCTTTAGAAAATATCTAAGAGGATTTAAAGTTGCTTAACCTGTATTTAATGAATTGTGATGTCAATTAAAAAACATAAGAAAAAGCTAAATAAAACAAAGATAATTAGAGGGATATAAGAATTGATAAATTGTTAAGTTCTGAGTTTTACAACCAATAATTTACAAACCATAAGTAAGAATTAAAAGCAAAACTATACGTAATGTTTTTTTTAATTCTGTTGCATATTTTTATCATCTTAATTTATTTTATATTTCTTTCATGGTATCTTTATAATAGGATAGACATATATAAATGCTCTCTCTTACACACATACACACACAAATATAAGGAGTAAATCACTAACAGTTAATGAATGTCCATTAACAATTGGCTGCCATTAAAACACTGTAGAATTATCTCAATTCTCTAGGTTACTTTTGATTTAAAACAGTCATAAATCTCACAAGAGAAAATAATAAATTTCCCAGAAATTTAACTTAACAAATTCACATTAGAAGCTTATTGTGAATATTTGTAATATAATATTGTTTTATCCACTTAATTTCTTAAGAGTTTGACTTTTTGGATTTTCCACACACTCAGAGAAATTATTTTATGTGACTCATTAATATATTACATTAGGTTTTCCATTTAGTAGAGAGCAAGGGAGTGACACGTTAGAACATTGAAGAGGTATATTCTGCTTAGAAGTAAATAAAGCATCAATTAAAAATATCCTTGAAAAAAACTGGGAAAAAAAAAAACCCGACTTTGTAACTTGTTTTTCTATAAATGAAGTACAGGGTGATCTGTGAGTCAGTGTATTTTCATGATCTTCCTGGTACTAATTTGTATAGTACTAGGTAAGGAGGTCTAAAGTCTTAATACTAAGAATTTCTTTTGATCAACAACTAATCATATAATGATTTTTAGTATTGCTTCTGAAGCTACATACAGGTAGTGTAGTTCTGGAATCTAGAAATGGGACACTCCTATAGAAAGAAGTGAAATGGAGACATAGGAAATATACAAAAAGTAAATGGATGTGTACAAAGAGGGTAGTTAAAAGAACAATTCTTGCCCAATAGAAACTGATTGAATTGATGGTCCCTAAGAATCCTTTCCTCAGAATGACTCTACAATTGCTACAGAAATACTATTTATTATTTGTTGATTCTTTATTGATTTATTATTTTATTGAGATATAATTGACATATAACATCGTGTTATACATTACAATATGTAATTACCACCTTGGCATTAGCTAGCATTGTCATCACATCATATATCTTTTGTGGAGGGTGGAGTATTTAAGATCAAATCCTTTAGCAGCTTTGAAATATACAATATAATATTGTTGACCATAATTGCCATACTGTGCATTAGCTCTCCAGAACTTATTCATTTTCTAACTGCAAGTTTCTAGGCTTTGATCAACATTGAATTCTCTTACCTCCAGCCCCTGTTAACCAGCAGTTTACCCTCTGTTTCTATGGGCTCATCTTTTCTAGATTCCATATTTAAGTGATATCTTTTTCTATATCTGTTTAGCATAATGCCCTTAGGCTCCATCCATGTTATCACAAATGGAAGGAATGTATGGTAAAACACTTGAAACTAAGGTGAATACATCTTGAGTGGTTATACAGTATACAAGTGTTAAGTAACTAACAAAATACTAAGACAAAAAAAAACAAATAGAACATACATTTGAGAGCCACAGTAAAAGTTAACAGTTTTATTACGCAGGAAAAGAATGGCTTCCTTTTTGAGTGTCTCCGCTTATAAAATTAGATTGTATTGAAAATATTAATGATGCTGGTTGTAAAGAAAATCACATAGGCTACTCGACTCTGATGTTCATGTTGCCATCCTTATTGACACAGAACCATGATGTTTCAATAAATGCAGATTTCCAACAAGATCTATATGCTATTCCACGTTTACATGAAGATGATTTAAAAGCTAAATGCTTTTAAAGAAATATGGTTAAGAATGAAGTTTAAATGTACAAATACCTTATGTTTTATTGATTGTTATTGAGAACACTTTAGGTCATATCTAGTAGATTTTGTTTTGTACTTAATAAAAAAAGAATTTTTCAAAGTAAATCAGTATTTTATTGAAGGGAATTAAACAGGGAAGATAATTATGCCCATCCTCAACTTGATACTAATTCAAGCACATTTCAATGATTTTTATTAATATTTTATCAACATTCTGTAACTTTTTTTTAGTTACAGGTCACAATATAATTTTTAAAGTAAACTGCTTCCAATTCTCTTTTGATTATTTCACTAATGCCAACACCTTTGAAAGACCCTGAATTATACATTATAATGGATCATTTAATAGTTACATTTCTTTACAGCATAGATCTACGTTTAAAATTCTACATTGCCTATAGGAATTAGGGCTATTTTGCATGAGGCTATATTCTCTTGTTTATATAGGATGATATTAGTTTTACAAATCTGAACAAGGAGGGCTTCTCTTTCATTGCATATCATCCACTTGCTTGCTTAAAAGAGAATGCTATATAGAACTGTGTTGTTCAGTAATACCACGCTGTTCAATAATATCACAGTCTTAATTTCTTGTTACTATTTATATTTTCTTGAGGAACATTAGTCATCCAGGTGACAGCAACAGATGCTGATGATCCCGCCAGTGGTAATAATGCTCGTCTCCTGTACAGTTTACTACAAGGCCAACCATATTTCTCCATTGAACCAACAACAGGTATTTCTGAATGAAAAAAGTGCCATTCAACAGGATTCTACATAGGCAAATGTCAGAGCAAAAATTAATCTGTATATAAACATGTTGTACAGTACACCTGATATTTCAAAAACTAAATGGGCTGTACTTTTAAACATTTAAATCTTTTTAGGCTTTTAGCTGATTTTTCTAACTTTCAGAGATTAAATTTTCTAAATCTACACCACTATAAAAATCTGTGTATAAGGTATAAAACATATGTAAAGATTATGACAAATCAATTGGAAAAAGAAAAAAAAACAATTTAAAAACATACTAAAAGACATTTAAAACAATTGGCTAAAAATTTGGTATACAAAAAGCCTACAAGATTAATAAAAATGATTAACCTCAGGAGTAATCAGGAGAATGCAAACTAAACTAAAACCACATGAGATACCCAATTCTTTATGGAGTCAACACCCAATTCTCTCTGGAGTCAAACATAGGGAGATATTAGCAGTGTCTGTTTAATATATTCACTGTATTCTATAGTGATTCATATAACAGATTATACTTGTAAATCACTTTAGTCCACAATTAAAATGCCATCACAATATGGTCCAATTTATCCTTTTGTGATTTTACAGATCTCACAGTCTTTTAATGAACACTTTTCCCCAGACACAGTTGAGGACTGGCCATTCTCTTTCTTTGTGTTAGTGTTCCCAAAATTTTTAGGCCAGCATCCTCTTGTCCTATGCACCACCTTAAATTTCTCCTAGTTTTATTTTTTTCAGTGATAATTAATTACTTTTTCACTAATTTTGTAGAAAGTTATTATTTATTATGATCCATCTTGAGTTTGAAAATCTGTGTACATATTTATCTCTATTGGTAGATTATGAAAAACTGTTGGTCAAAAACAAACCCTTCTTTATATATCATGACTTAAAATAAACTTTAACATCACAGGTGCACAATATTTTTTGCATAAATTTGGTTTTGCAATTTACACATTTACTTATGATTAACTTCTTTCAAATTTAAGGGAGAAGTTAAAAAAAGGGAGAAGTTAATTGTAGCACACGAATATTATGTTAGGGAAGATAGCAAAAATAATTTGAGGTAAAAATAAGATATTCCTCTTTTCTACCTGCAGATTATATTAACATGGTTATTTTCTTAAGGATTTACTAGTGTTTTTAGTATTGTGATGACTACTTTAAACTCTAGACAGAGTTGGTATTTATTATTGTTATTATTATTGTTAATTAATATTATTATTATTTTCTCCAAGACAGTGTCTAGCATATTGTAGTGACTTAAAATGTGTCAAAAGAATTATTGTATGATTGAATTCTTAAGAAATTAACTATGAGAATACCATGATTAATATGAAATAATAAATTATGTTTTATTACATTTTTAAAGGAGTCATAAGAATATCTTCTAAAATGGATAGAGAATTGCAAGATGAGTATTGGGTAATTATTCAAGCCAAAGATATGATTGGTCTGCCTGGAGCTCTGTCTGGAACAACAAGTGTATTAATTAAACTTTCTGATGTTAACGACAATAAACCTATATTTAAGGAAAGTAAGTAGAAAACATCTTAAATTTTCATTAAAACATAATTATACTTACGTTAAATATATGCAGATAGTAGGGTTTTGCATCTAAAGCACTACAACAGCACTAGAATTGTATAAAATAAATTTGTCAATTATTCTATATGTGATTATTTTTATTAGTGTGAAAAGACAAATATAAATAAAAGACTAATGTGGCTTTTTAAATTGCTTCTATAACAATTTCCACAAATTTCATGTCTTAAATTATTACCTTAATGAAACCTGTTGCAGGTGTCACCATATTAAATTCAAGGTGTCTTCAGGGCTGTGTTCCAAGGATCCAGGGGAGAATCCATTTCTTTGGATTTGGTTGATGACAAAATTCAGTTTTTTATGTTTGTAAGATTAAAGTCACTGTTTCCTTGATGGCTGTCAGCTGAAGGACACTGTTAGCTCCTTAAGGCATCTTTCTGATTCTTGTATAAACTCATGCACCTCAAACACAGCAAAAGGTGTTAAATCCTACACACACTGTCATCTCTCTGACCTGCACTTTTGCCTCTTCTTCACTTTAAGGACTGATGTGATTACATCAGGCCCACTTGGATAAACCAAGACAATCTCCATATCTCAAGGTCAGCAAATTAGCAATATGAATTCTACCTGCAACCTTTATAATTACCTTTTTTCACTTTATGTAATATATTCACAGGTCTGAGGTATTAGAACACAGATATTTTGGGGGATTTATTTTTTTGTCTACTGTCAGTAATTATCTCAAGTGATACTATTTTATTTTTTAATTTTGTTTGATATATTAAAACTAAGAACAAATAAAAACAATTCACCTATTTCTATATTCACCTATGATTTATGCATATGCATATACACACACACAATCTTTCATATATAAGAGAGATCATATGGTCTTTGTCTTCCTCTGACTTATTTCACTTAGCATAATGCCCTTGAGGTCTATCTATGTTGTTGCAAATGTCAAGATATCATTCTTCTTTATTAATAAGTAATATTCCTCTGTGTGTGTTCATGTGTGTGCATGTGTGTATTATAATTTCTTTATCCATGCATCCATTGGTGGGTATTTAGTTTGTTTCCGTATTTTGACTATTGTGAATAATAATGCAATGAACATGATAGTGCAGATACCTTTTCTAATTAGTGTTTTCATTTTTTTGGATGGATACCCAGGAATGGAATTGCTAGATCATAAGGTAGTTCTATGTTTAATTTTTCGAAAAACTACCATACTGTTTTCTACGATGGGTACACAAATTTATTCCCACTAACCATGCACGAGGGTTCCCTTTTCTCCACATCCTCACCAACACTTCTTATTTCTGGTCTTTTAAATAATAGCCATTCTAACAGATGTGAGGTAATATTTCATTATGTTTTGATTTGCATTTCCCTGATGAATAATGATATAGAGCATTGTTTCATAGATCTGTTAACCATCTGTATGCCTTCTTTGGAAAAATGTCTGTTCAGGTCTTGTGTCCATTTTTAATATTATCATCATCATCATCATCATTATTATTATTTGATAATGAGTTGTATGAGTTTCTATATATTTTGGAGTTAACATCTTATCAGATATATAATTTACACATATTTCCTCCCATCAGTAAATTTTCTTTTCATCATTTTGATGGTTTCCTTTGCTGTGCAGAAGCTTTTAGTTTGATATAGTACACTCAATTTTTCTTTTGTTGTTTTTGTTTTTGATATTAGATACAAAAAATCATAACCAAGACCTAGGTCAGGGAGCTTACTGCCTATGTTTTCTTCTAAGAGTTTTATGGTTTCAGGTCTATTAAGTTCAAGTCTTTAATCCATTTTGAGTTAATTTTTGTGTATGGTGTAAGATAGTGGTCCTGTTACATTCTTTTTCATTTGATTGTCCAATTTTCCCAATAGCATTTATTAAAGAGACTGACATTACCTATTGCATATTTTGGCTCCTTTGACATAAATTAACTGACCATATATGTGTGGATATATTTTACTTTTGTTGCATGAATAGGCCCCAATTGCTCTAATAAGTAATAAATACAAGTTAAATCACGTGTTGTGTTTCAGAAGGAGTTTCTTGCGAAAGTCTGGGAGAAATTATTTTTTTCTTAGGAGATTCCTCTCCCCCCATGGGATTCTTTCTTAGCAACAGAAATGCATTTACAAGCAATTCTAGAAATCATGAGCAATTATCATGATAGGTGGAATATATAAGCATGTTTCAAAGAGAAAAGTAGATCACGCACCGACATACACACACACACACACACACACACACACACATCCCCCTAAGTGATGCAGACATGATGCAGTTCAGCTAATTTGTGCAAAGCCCAGAGTTATTAGATCTTCTGAATTTTCAAAAAAATTATAAATCTGGATGTATTTCTGTGCTGTTGTCAAATTTAAAATTTTTCAGTTTAATGTGGCCATTTTTAAAAAAAATCATATAGATTTAAGGTATGCAATATGAAGTTTTGATATCATATACATAGTGAAATCATTACTACAGACAAGCTAATTAACATATCCATCTCCACACATTGTTACGTTGTGTGGGGGTGTGTGGTGAGAGCACCTGAGATGTTCTCTCAGAAAATTCCCATTATATGATACAGTAGTATCAACTATAGTCACCAAGCTGTACACTGGATTTGTAAACTTATTTATCCTACATCATTGCAGCTTCGTATCATTTGAGTCACCGCTCCTGATTTCTTTATAAGTCAATGAAACAGCTCCTCTTTGGATGGAATTTAGGTAATAAGGCAGCAGTTTGTGACCTTCATCTCCATGTTATAAATGCATCGTGTATATGACTATCTCTACAAAGTGTGTGTCCTAAAGACAAGAAGGTGATGTGTAATGTAATCTGAAATACTCAGGACTTTATGAAATGACTGCCATATAATAAATACAGAAAAATATATTGAATAAATCTAGTCTATGTTTTATTCAGATGAAGGTGAAATAATAAGTTGAAGAATCTGGAAGGCAGTACGCCCAAAGAATGTTTGTTGAGACAAAAATGCCCTTGAAGTTTCTGCTGCCATCCTTATTTCTTCTCATTTTTCTTAACTTTAACATCATGAACATTGATAAACATAATATCTATAAGCATAAATAACAATGTATGTATACATTGACATATATCTGGACAAATTAGAATATTTAAAATAGTTTCTAAAATTCTTACAGCTAACCACACCCCTCATGTAAAATGATAGCATTACTATTTTCAAATTTGAGTGTGGTGAACATGATTCTAGTACCATAAAGTTACCTCACTCTTTAAAATAGTTTTCTCTGTTTCCATGCCACACCATAATCATGTGAATGTATGTGTATTGTCTGTTGTTCCAGAACAGAAGCATGCTGACCTCCTTATTCTTTAAACTATTTTCCCTGATTTTAATCCTATTGTTTTCCTCTCATTTTAAATATTTAATACATATCTCCTCTGAATGTACAACCTCCCCTCACCTCTCAATCAAGGGCATCTACTCTGTTAATTACTATTAACATTCAAACATGTGGTTGTCATTGTTTTCATCTTAAAGACAAAACAAAATAAATACATTATAGATTCACTTCTGTATCTAGCTAATCATGCTTCATTTTCTTTTCCTTTAGAGAAAAGAATTTTTAAAATGTTGAGGGGTGCTTGGGTGGCTCAGTTGGTTAGGCATCTGCCTTGGGCTCAGGTCATGATCTTAGGGTACTGGTTTCAAGCCCAGTGCTGGGTTCCCTGCAAGCAGGGAGTCTGCTTCTCCCTCTCCCTTTGTGCGTGCTCTCTCTCTCTCTTTCTCTCAAGTAAGTAAATAAAATCTTTAAAAAATATGAAATGTCAAACTCATTATCTTATTTGCTGTCTTTTAAACTCTCTGGAGACCACTCAGTAGAGTTTCATCCACACTGCTTGGCCAAACTGATCCAGTCGATTCTATCAATAATCTATGTGCAATCAAATCCAATAAATTCTCAGTCCTAATATAGTGTCATTTTTCAGCAAGATTTGATAGGGATTACTCCATTCTTATGTGCTTTTTCATCTATCTCAGTGGTCACTTTTTAATCATCTTTGCCTCCTCTTTACATTTACATACTGTAAACTTTGTGTATTTCTATTATCAGGCCTTAGAATATCATTTCTCATCCTTTTTCATTCACTCCTTGATATTCTCATCTGGCCATGTGACTTTAAATGCTACCTCTATGCTGACTCTCCCAGATACATACCTCCAGTGTAAACCAACCCCTGACCTGAACTACACATATGTATATACAACTGTCTACTCAGTATCTTCATTTATGTGCTATATATATTTAAACTAGACATATATTTGAGTTTCTGATCATGCCTATCTTCTCCTCTAAACCTCTTCTTTTCATAGCTTTTCTCATTTCAAAGACTATCAAATCCAGCCTTTGTATTGCTCAGGGCAAAATCTCGCCCATTCAATTCAATTCAAACAACCCAACTTTGATGACACTGAGCCAAATCTACGTCAGTTCTAATTTCCAACTCCGACTGAATTGATGATCAATTTTGCAAAATTCTTGCTAGTCTCTGATTTTCAATGTTCTGTGACTGCATGTGCACATGATCTCTCTCTCTCTCTCTCTCTCTCTCTCACACACACACACACACACACACACACACAATCTCTCCTAATAAAAAACAAAACTTATTTGTTTAAAGATTTTGAAGTCACCTTCCCCTCTATTCTTTCTCTCATATCCGAAATTCAGTCCTCTGCAGATCCTGTGGGCTCTATCTTTTAAAAATATCCCTAATCTGAATTTCTCAACAATTGTATTTGCAACTGTGGTTCATACTACCCTCTTAATTTGTCTCCATTATTGTCATAGGCTTCCATCTACTCTCTGATTCCACCTCTGTTCTCCTCTGGTCTACTTCCAACACAACTTGAGTGACTTTGCTGAAATGCAGGTCGGATTATATCACTCAAATGTCTTACCATGTCACTCACAGAAAAAGTCACAGGCCTTAATATAACCTCCATTGTCCTAAACAATTTGCCATTATCCAGTCCTGTTCCATTACTTCTGGGAGCTCATGTCCTAGCATTCTACCTTTTTTTTTCATGGACAAACCAACACCAGGCAATTGACCTACCTAGGTCACTGGAAAACTTTAATCACTGGTTTTGTGGCCTTTTGGCTTGCACTTCCCTCTTCCTGAAATTCTGTTTTCTATAGTATGCATTTTCCCACAATGGAAAATCACACAACCACTTTGCAGCACAGTTAAGCTGTTGCTTCCTGAAGATTGTAAAAATATTAGCAACTTTTAAGTGACATTTCACCCATTTTAAAAAAAAGGGAGGATAATCTCACAAGGCAATCTGTGAAGTGACTTGCTATATTCTAAGAAAATCAATCTCTTTAAAGAAAAATTTTATTACATGTTCCTTTTTTAAATTCTACAAAGTTTCATTTCTTTTTTTATAAAGATGTATTTATTTGAGAGAGAGAGACAGAGACAGAGAAAGAGAGCATAATTGAGGGAAGGGGCAAAGGGAGAGGGAGAAGCAGACTCCTTACTGAGACAGGAGCCTGATGTGGGGCTTGATCCCAGGACCCTGAGAACTGGACCTGAGCGACAATCAAATGCTTAACCAAAGGAGCAACCCAGGGCCCCCAAGTTTCATTCTTTAGAATAATGACATATATTATTATTTCCCACATTTTAACATAAATCACAAATAATAACTTACAAATGGCTAACTCTTTATCAACTTCATGCAAGTTACTTCTGAAAAATAAAGGAAGCAAAGCTAATTATTTACATCTATGTATTTCAAATATAAGTGCTATTGTTTTCATGTAACCAAAAGAATGGGGTCATCTGATTTCAGCATGGTTTTCAAACTACTACATCCATTCACTAAGTCTTGTGGATCCCCTTTTTCTTTTCTTTCTTTTCTTTTCTTTTCTTTCTTTTCTTTTCTTTTCTTTTCTTCTTCTTCTTTTTCTTTCTTTTTTTTTTTTTTTCATTTCCACTATGGCCAATGAACTCAGGCTCAGAATCTAAAAATCAGACTATTATACTTACAGCTCACTTATTTATTCTCTCCCATCTCTAATCCACACTTACATTTACTGTAAACTTTAGGTATCAGAGTGAAATTGAAAACTCTTTATCAAATTTAATTGGGATGGTTGAAGGATATAATAAAAAATAAATCCAAAAATATCAGCAAAGTATACATATGAATAGAAGTTTGGAAAATATATGTACTGGTGATAGGACTTCCTAAGCTATATTTGAGAGACATTAATAGATGCTCAAGTAGGATATTAGGGAAATACAAAATACAGATTACAAAAAGAAGGGATAGATAGATAAATGGATGGATAGATAGATAGATGTTAGATAGATAGATATTGATTTAGGTAAAGTTAACTGGTAGAAAGTGAGGGTATGGGTTTTCCCATAGTCCACAAAAAAAAAAGGTGCTAAAATTGAGAGCTCCTTATGTTTATTATTTGTGTGAAGTATCTGCATTTTGTTTTTAAAGGGTTATACCGCCTAACTGTTTCTGAATCTGCACCCACTGGGACTTCAATAGGAAGAATCATGGCATATGATAATGACATTGGAGAGAATGCAGAAATGGATTACAGCATTGAAGATGATTCACAGACATTTGACATAATAACTAATAACGAGACACAAGAAGGAATAGTTATATTAAAAAAGGTAGATATATTTATAATATTTACTTCACAGATGATAAAAATCAAATCAGAAATGCATATAATTATTTTGTATAGCCAGTTAGTTGTTGCTTCATTAAGTAATTGAAATGAGAACTGAATTGAAATGTGATTTATGGTTTAGGGAGCAAAGGAACTCAGAGATGAGACAGAGGTATTACAGAGTCTCAAATTATTTGTAGAGTAGTTTTTTTTTTATTATTTTTTTAAAGACTTTTAGAGGACAAGCTTTTTGGAAAGATCTTAAAATTAATACTCAATCCTATAGGATATTTATGCCTAGAAAAGTATAATTTTAATCCTAAAATCCAAAACATTTTATAATAGATGTAAATAACAAAACACAGAGATTTGCTATGCGGCCGCTTAATGATAATATCAGAGGGATCTAAGCAAGTACATGAGAAGCAAAACGTAACTAAAAAGCAACTAAGACTTAATAACCCAAACTTTTTTTTTTTTTAAAATAATGTCTTGGGTTAATGAAGCCGTTTATTCTTCTGCACACCGTATTTCTTTGTAGAAAGTGGATTTTGAGCACCAGAACCACTATCTTATCAGAGCAAATGTTAAAAACCGCCATGTTGCTGAGCACCTTATGGAATACCATGTTGAAGCTTCCACCACCTTTGTAAGGGTCCAGGTAGAGGATGAGGATGAGCCTCCTGTTTTCCTCCTCCCATATTACCTATTTGAAATCTTGGAAGAAAGCCCACATGGGTCATTTGTAGGCATGGTCTCTGCCACAGATCCAGATCAGAGGAAATCTCCCATCAGGTATGTGTGCAAAGCAGCTTTGTATTAATAAATGAGTGATTACAAGTTAGCCTGAAAATAAAATGTCATAGAAATGTAACAAAGATAAATCTGTTATTCCTTTATGTGGCACTTATTAAAGGTGCAACAGTTTAAACCAGTTAACTATTGATAAAGTTGTGGTAAAATAAGCAATTATAGCTGTACAGTTGTCAGTCACCAACCAGAATTCAATGAAATCAGCTCTATTAATTGGGGTGAGGGAAAAAAAACCACTGATTATGCTAAGTCAGAAGCAAATCTGACCAAAATATGCTTTATTTAAATACTACTAAATTAATATTTAAAAATTGAGAAAGCTTTCACAGGATACCCTTAAAATAGTAAACATGAAATTAGTCCACTTGGTTAGGAACAAGTTTCTGTGTTGCAATTAAATAATATTTACCATCTATTATTCTAGTCTGTTATTTTCAGGTGCTATATTTTCATATCTTTTTCAGTATTTGACTGTAGACCTGGTCAGACAGGAAAACAAAACCTGTTACATGTCTCCTTCCACCACCTTCCCTTATTCCTCTGTTCTCCATGCTTCATAGTTCTGAGAATTTTACAAACTTCCATGTATTTATGAAGATGTGGCTATTGCTTTGTATTTTGTAGGGGCTTTGATTCAAAGAAGCTTCTTTTAAGTTTTTGAAACAGAGAAATGCTCCCACTTTCCCAGTGTAATTCCTAGACATAAAACACTGCCTTCTGATATTTAGATATAGTTCCCACTGAGTAATAGTACTTTCTGTAATAAATATAAGTATATATGTCATATTTCATGTATATAATTATAACCCAGTAATTAGATTATTTTTAATGTTTATTTATTTATGATAGTCACACAGAGAGAGAGAGAGGCAGAGACACAGGCAGAGGGAGAAGCAGGCTCCATGCACCGAGAGCCCGATGTGGGATTCGATCCCGGATCTCCAGGATCGCGCCCTGGGCCAAAGGCAGGCGCCAAACCGCTGCGCCACCTAGGGATCCCAGTAATTAGATTTTTAAAAGTAGTATATATAGTCACCTATGTATTTTGAGAATACTAAAGAATACATAATTCTAAAATAATGCCTTTACGGATTAAGATGTTTATTATACTATCATTTATAATAATGAAACATAGGAAACAATTTAAATATCTAATCATAGTGGTATAAGTAGACGATGGATGATAAATGCTTGAAATGATGCTTATAAACATAGCATAATTTATAAATAATACAAAATTACTGGAGTTGTGTGTTTACTACAAGTAAAAATATTACCTATCTATGAGCCAAATAAGTGAGCCACACCCAAATATTAATAGGTGTTATGTGTTTTTTAGTATCACTATTGGTGGTTACTTGATTTTCTACCAAGAATATTTTAGCTAATAGTTTTTCCTTTTATACTGAAATTTTAATCACTGTAAACATTTTTTAGAGCCTATCGAAAGAATGGTTTTAATGTCTTTTATGGACATTGTTTCATTTGGAGATGCCTTTTTTAAAAAGATTTTATTTATTTATTTATTTATTTATTTATTTATTTATTGTTATTTATTTATGAGAGATACACAAGAGAGAGGCAAAGGCACAGGCAGAGGGAGAATCAGGGTCCTTGCAAGGAGCCCGATGTGGGACTTGATTCTGGAACCGAGATCATGCCCTGAGCCAAAGGCATACACTCAACCACTGAGCCACCCCGGCGTCCCTGGAGGTGCCTTTTAAATAAGACTGCTTTTCATATGTTTGTTAGGATGAAAATAGCCATTGAACACATTTCAGTAGGTATCCACCCACTGTTTTTGTTTTTATGGGTTTTTTGGGGAACAAAAGATCCAAAAAATGTTTGAAAGCAAATGCTAAATGACTTCAATGTGACTTTTAGTGTGATATATCTTCCTTAATACTCACTGGGTAGCAAGACATATAGAAACCAAAGGAAATTAAAGGGCATTCTATTTTGCCCTCAGGGTGTTCCCCATTTGGGGAAAAGAAATTAACATATAGAAAACAAATTGCATTACACCTAATTCAAATAACTCATATTAACTTAGTTTTCCCTCCATGTAAGAATTACCTGATATTTCTCCAAAGTATGGAGATTCTCAGGCTCAGTTTCAGCAAGTCTTCGGTGAGATTAACTGGTTTAGCAAAGTATTCTCACCATTGTTGTCATTGTTAAGTGCAGAAAAGCTTGAGAAAATATCCCTTGAACATGAATTATAATAATAAGGTTTGTGGTGAATGTCTAAGAAAAATGGGGTGTAGATATTAAGAAAGAATGCAATAATTAGACCTGAAATTGGTCAGTCTTCAGCAAGACAACTGAGGGCAGGGGAAGAATAGACAAAAGTTAACATTATCAGAAAGAACATAACTTTTGATCCCATAAACATTAAACAATATTATAGGGAAAAGCCATGAATGACTCCAAGCCCAAGAATTCAGACCAATTCCTTAGGAAAGTCCAAACATTCACATAAAAAGATAAATAACCTGGGTAGTCATGTATGTGACAAACAGGAAGAGCTCTGTGGGTTTTTGGGAATATAGGAGTCTTCTGTGGAAGAGGTTGTCGTTAAACCTCTTTCATCTGTGTTCTAATGGAAGCACTTAAAAATCCTTGAAACACCTAGTAGATCTGCAGCCTACTTGGAAAAATCCCCATTTGTTTCTGGGGGTGGCTTTTGTGTGTCTCAGTTGCTTTGTCTGTGAAGTGGGAATAGTACTTTTGTAGAGGCATATGAGGATTAAGAACACGAGGCATAGACATCTGGAGAAGCATGCATGGAAGAACCATTTGTTTACCATTCAGGCAAGAGCTGTTGACAATGGGAGAATGTGGGCACATTGTATTCATTCAGCATTTTTGTAGGAACGAAGAGTTGCATAAAAAAGAAATCCAAAATCAACCAAACATCAAAACTTCACATTTTAAGCTTTTTAGCTCAAGCTCTTTCTAAAATGTATTGCACACAACTTTCCTTTCTTAAATAGCGCGTATTGACTATTTTAAAATGTTACTGATGATGCAAGGTCATGATCTTTAAAACTTTTATTTGAAAATTACTTCAAACATTTGATTGGTTTTAACGAATGATTTATTATAGAAACAGGCTATTCTAGATGCTTAATACAAGATATTAACTATTAAACTACTATTGCTCTTTGCCAACAGATCTGCTCTGAGTAGGAAATGTGACCATTTGTGGATATGGCAGTAAATTGCTTCTAAAAGTTTAAAATGGGATTGAATTGAAACCAAATTCCCTTAAAGCTGAATTCTCTGTAATTTCTATTTTAATTCCCCCCTGAACACCAGTCTACAAATCAGTGTGATATTTTTAGAGACCTGTCAATTCAAGATTAAAATATTCTCATCTCTTGCCACATAATTATGGCAAACCTCATTGATGTCTCATCAAAGTCTTCAGGAATATATGTGCAATGAGAAGTCATCATTGAACCCAAGTTATTACTCTTCTTTAATTTTTATTATTAATCATTTGCAAGTAGATAACACATACTGAGTACTTCAAAGGCTTCTTTCATTGTGAGTTTGAGATCATTTTCCAGGCTTTTGCATGAGGGAATTTTATCTGGCTTCTTTCCATGCATGCTCTAACAGCATATTCCATCTACTATCTTACTTTTGGAGGATACACACACACACACACACACACACACACACACACACAAAACCATCTCATTTTTATTAAATATTATCAAAGCATTTTTCTTTAAACAAACAAAACCAAACAGTTCTCATATGTCAGCAATCAGGTAATTATAATATCATGCAGATTTAGCAAGCATCTATATGGGTAGGAAAGAAACTCAGCAGTTTAGGGTGAGGATATGCTTTACATTGCTTCAAAGGAGAAAAAAAGGTTAAGAAGCGTTAATTTTTACTGCTCTTTAATTGTACTCCTCTTAATTTTGCAAATGACATTTTTACCATTTCTTTTTAGCTAAATCTTTCACTTGTTAAAATTTTCTTTTGGGATTGAGAATCAATTACGTGTTTAGATTTAGCATACATCAATTTAAATCTGAGACCATTTTAGTTTAGTTCTTTTCTTTTTAATCCTCACTGAGTGGAATCTTAAATATATGCATGCACCTTTCTAAAATTGTTCAGCATTACATTATCTATATGGAGTACGCATTTAATTTGTCTAATTGCCTCAAAAGGGTTTTATATATCACAGTTATACAGAGAAAATAATAAAATTAAAGAATTCTTTTTCTTTGGTGCAGGTATTCTATTAACAGAAGCAAAGTGTTCAGTATTGATGACAATGGTACAATCATCACAACTAACCCTCTTGATCGAGAGATTAGTGCTTGGTACAACCTAAGTATTACAGCCACAGAAAAATGTAAGTACTCATTTAGGACCACACATTGGCTCAGCATATATTTTCAACCATTCAATAATCGCCAAATGTAGGGAAAGAAGCTAGCCTAAAATTTATTGGAACTGGAGTTAAATTATATATATATATATATATATATATATATATATATATATATATATATATTCATATATGTGTATTTTATTTTATCATTTTAGATTACCAGTGTCTATTAATTCCTATTATAGCTTATTTATATACTTACTGCTAAATACTTTAAGACTTTTTATTGTGAAAAATTGAATATAAATTTTGCAAGATTTTTAAAACTGGGATATATTTAATATATATTTTCTATAGGTTCTCTTAGAAGTTATGAGTTTAATGAAAAAAGAAAGTCTTATGTACATCCCCCCTTCAAAAATTCACCCTTAAAAAATACATATATGTGGAAAAAAGTTATAATCTTCCACTTAGAGAAAAATTTCAATTTAGAGAAATGTTTAATTGTCTAGTAATATCATACCATTTAACCATAATCAGTTTAGACTGACTGTATGAGTTCATGAGGGCACTATTCTGGAAATAAAATACAGAATGCCTGTGCCTTGTTCTATTTTTGGATCAAAGTGTTAGTATATACTTGGATATTAGGGATAGGGTAACACTCCAACACAGCCTTTTAAAACTTCAGGCATTTACATATTTCAATGAAATTATGGGAAAAATATGAAGGAGTCAAACAACTAAAATTCATTGGTACATCAAAAACAGTAATCATAGTCAAGACATTTTCAAATTAAGCTTATAGTGGAAGTTGTGCTAACAGTCACATCTTCAGTACTCAGTGGGGACCAATTGTTATTGTTATTTGTTATTTGTCTTTATTTATGTTTTTTAGTTTTGGGGTTTTGCTTCCAGAATTAGGCAGATGATTCCATTTTCAGATTGTAAAAAGTAGATAAAATTATCCTAATTTACTACTTGTATAGTGTCTTCAAAATTATCGATTAATTTGCTATTAAGTCAAACATATTATTTAATTCACACTCAAAGGAATAAATACAATACAATATAAAAGATGATCAAGATCATTCCCTTTATTTAATTGATAGGCTTACTTTATATGGTTCAGTAAATAATTAAATTTTTGAATGTGAAATATTCTGGAATGCATCCTTTATAATTGATTCTGCATAAATTTTAATTTACTTTTCTGGCTTGTGTGGGTTTTTTTTTTTAAACCTTTAAACATATATCTTATTTCTTACTTTATTAAGCAGTTGACTGGGGATATGGTGGAGTGGAAAGCATCTCCTGCATATTTTTTTTGTCATGCATTGAATAGCTCTATGTATAGAAACACTGCAGGAGGACTGGGTCTGGGTTTTGAATTTTCCATTTAACTTAACAACAAAGAATAAGAAGCAAATGTTAGAAGGAATAAAAGTCTGCTGTAACAGAAGAAATGCCAAGGCTCTTGGTGTCAGAAAACATAAAGATGTGTATTCTAAAAGCAAGAGGTTTATTCATTGGGTTTTTTGAGAACAAATTATTTATAATATCACTATTTACAAAACTATTGAGAAAAAGAATTCAAATCAGTTCAAGGGAAGGATAGACATCTTTGAAAAATGTGTTTCTCTATAAAATGCTATTTTATCTATTACAAGAGCATGTTTTAATAAATGTATATAAGCTGTGAGCTTATTTTATATTCAAAGGAGATTTTTTTGTGAGAATATATCGTTTAGTTTGTGTTAAATTAGAGGTACTACAATGTGAGTTATAGAAAGCAGAATCTTTAAGATGTATTATGTGTGTTCTGAGACACAAAGCATTCTAAAATTTTAAGAATGAATAGAAAAAAGGATGAATGAGTAATTGGTATGAAAGGTTGCAAGATAAGTCAATTATGCAATTCCCATTAATAACATGATTATATCAAAAAGATGTCTTGGAGATCTCTAGAGAAACACTGAAATATTTTTGCTTGGCCCCCACCCTTTTTTGGAAGACAGTGGAGTTAAATTGTAGTGTTACAAAATAAAATAAAAATAATAACACAAATCTCTGGATTGCAAGATAGCTGCTGTCAAAAAATATTCATTCAACATACATATGTATATTTGCATATATACTACAAAGTATATTATCTATTCCATTAAATTATGTCACTACATACTGTGTTCAGAGGTGATATCCAAAGACTCAGCGACCCACTCAACAGAAATAATCAGATGAGACTTAAGATCTTACTGACGTATTACTCCTTACCAGTTGATCAACAGGCTTCACTTTATTAGAAAAAAACAATGGTCCGAAATGTTCAATATAATGTACTTACATATGTGGGTGGGTGTGTGAACAGATAATATTCAGGAAATTGAACTGTTTCAACTATTTACAATATTACTTACTACATAGGTTGCACTAAGACCATAGATATTATAATGTGTATATATTGAGGAAAATAAAAAGAGAATAACAATGACATTAAACACTGGGTACCATTTATGATTCATGGAGAAAAAATATGCTATGTCATTTCTTACATTTTTAGATATCTGTTTATAAAATACATAGTTTGCAAAGTGGCCGTGAGTATTCGTGAGTTTTCAGGATTTACATTGTATTAAATAGATTACTTTTATTGCACATACTTATGTAAATATATATATATGATTATAAAAGTACATATATATGAATATACTTTTTGTGTGAAATTCTACATTTAGTAGCATTTTTACAGCTCTTAATAAAAATTTGAGGCAAACATCACTCCTATTTCAGAGAAGATGAATCTGAAACTTAACACAGTTTATTTGCCCGGCTGCTAACTGATGAAACTGGGGATGGATCACAATCATACCAGATTCCAAAGCCTATGTCTTAATCCTATGTCACACTATGTCACATTGTCTCTTACTGAGAATGTGAAAAATATTTGCTTTCAATGCTATCTGATTTAAATATGTATATGCAGTAATCTTAACCAAGTTTCATTTTACATTTTTTATTCTTAAAAAATAAAGTTTAATTGCAAAGTTACTGCACTTAGTGACTCCAGTGTAGGATCTAAATCAATTCATGTTGTCTGACCATGTCAGGGTCCAACAGTTGATAATCTCTGTAAGTATGTTAGCTAAATTCTACTTTGATACTTGTTCTGACTGTGCTCTGAGGTGTGCTCATCTCATTCTGTTGCTGTCGCTTTGTCCATGTTCATTTGTTGATGAAAGCATTTGTTGATGATGTGATAGTCATTGAAATGGAAATGATTAATATTTTGAATAGATTTTAAAGAACAGTGTCTTGTGCAAAAGTATGTTAAATACATGTTTTTTAGGGGTGCCTGGTGGCTTAGTTGGTTAAGCGTCTTACTTTTGATTTTGGCTCAGGTCATGATCTCAATGGTCAGAGGATAAAGCCCGGACCGGGGCTCACACTCAGTGGGGAGTCTGCTTGAAGATTCTCTTCCTCTAGCTCTCCCACCTTGAGCATATGTGCATGTGTGTGTATGTGCACATGCATGCTCTCTCTCTAATAAATATCTGTAAAAAATACATGTTTTTTTGAAATAAATTTTCTCTTGAAACTTTAAAGCCATAACATATTTATATTAAAGCAATTGTTTTACATTTGAAGAGAGCAAAATAAAACATATGTAACATTTAAAAGCAATAGATTTAGGGCACCTGGGTGCTTAGTCAATTGAGTATCCCGCTCTAGGTTTGGGTTCAGGTCATGATCTCAGGCTCATGGGATGGAGCCCCAGGAGCTCCATGCTAAGCAGTCTGCTTGGGGATTCTCTTCCTCTCCTTCTGCCTTTCCCTCTACTCATGAGCACTCCCTCTCCCTCTCTTTCTAAAATAAATAATATATCTTTTTATAAAAATAAAAACAATAAATTAGTGGACTTGACAACATTTTAATTATTTTGAGGAAAAATAAATTAGGTTGCAAGTAAATTCAAGGGAAAATAGAATAAAACAAGTAGTTTAATAGATATGTAATTTTAGATACAGAATTCATAAAATGTGATTGAAGTTGGTCATTTGATGTAAAAAGTATCAATTTATAAATTTTTAAACCTAAAATCTTATGGATTATAAAGTATTATATTAAAACAAATAATTTATAGGGATGTCTGACTGGCTCAGTGGATTAAACATCTGATTCTTGATTTTGGCCCAGGTCATGATCTCAGGGTCCTGAGATCCAGCCCCTTATGAGGTTTCTTGTTCAGTAGGGAATCTGCTGGAGAATCTCTTTCTCGCATTCTTTTTCTGTGTCCCTCTGCCCCCGCCCCACACTCACGTGCACATTCACCCTCCCTTCCTTTCTCCCGCTCTGCCCCATGCCTCATGCTCAAGTGAACTCTCTCTCTCAAATAAATAAATAAATAAATAAATAAATAAATAAATGTTTGAAATAATATTAATAATTTATAAATAAAAGAAGTTTAAAAATGCAATCAAGGAAAACAAACTTGTAAATGCCTGTGAAAGGCAAACTAAATATAAACTGAATACATTTATTTTACACAGAATTTAATACTTAGGAGTTAATCACTGTTTCAGGAATAAGTGATTAGAAATGTTACCAGGTACAGGAATTCTACAGTTCATGCTGTTCTGCTCCTGGCATTTTAAATCAGTTTTCTTAGAATAAAAAATAATACTTTTAGATAAAAGAGATGATATTCCCTCTGTTATTATTTATTATAAAGCTAAGATTTTAGAACATTGGGAATGAAATTCCAAAATAAAATATAATTAGATAAACATTTTCAGAAAGCTGCAAAGTTAATGTATATTTAACTCATCTTTAAAGATTTTTTTTAAAATTTTTGTTTCATTTTAAATAATTGTCTAGAAGAAACTTTTGTAACACCAGGTAACCAATTTTTATGTACTTTTTCTCTCTCTGGGATTTTTTTTCTTGTTCATTACATCATTACATCATTAAACTCATTTTAGAACAATTTTGGAGAAAATATTAGCATGTGCCAGTTTCTTATGAATATGGTATCATCAAAAATAATTGTGTGAGGGCACCTGGGTGGCTCATTTGGTTAAGCATCTACTCTTGGTTTCAGCTGGGGTCATGATCTCAGGGTGATGAGATTCAGACCATGTTGGGCTCTGCACCCAGTGGTGAGTCTGCTTGAGATTCTCTTCCTCTCCCCCCTCCCCTGGCTCATGCTCTTTCAGTCTTTTTCTCTAAAAGAAATAAATCTTTAAAAAATAATTATTTGACCATATAAGTCTCAATAATATTATGAACAAATAACCTGAATGGTAGAAAACTGGGAATCACATGATTGTTACAAATACTTACTGCCCAAGGTGAATAAATTGAAACCTACAATATAACAGGTAGGCTGATTATAGGAAGGATCTTTTCTGTTTTAACATTTGTTTCCCCAGGAAATGAAGTTCATCATGCTTTAGTCTCTTTCCTGGAAACCTTCCCAAGTTAAGCACCAAGCTATTCATCAGCATGTCAGCTAAGTGAATAAAACTACTAACTACTTTTAAATAAGCTGTGAAAACATATGCATGTTTTGTATAGTCATACCAATTTTAATTTAAATTTAAACAGATTTTCCAGGAAGACAAAAAGATAAAACCTTTAAATGAATTTCCTACTACGTTTAAAAAACATTATTTGTGCCTGAAATATTTTTTCCATTTTGCTTACTTAAGCAAAAATATTGTTCTATGGGTATATATGTTTAAACGATAAAAAATATGAGCCTGAATTTTTGAATAATTCTATCCTGAAATCTTTAGAAATAGCTATATCTTATCTATTTTTATTCTGAGCATGACACAATGGAGAAGAGTCTCAAGATGATAATTCTTAAGATACATCTTAAGATTATAAATATGAAAGGCTAGATTTTTTGGTATGTGATAAACCTTGCAAATTATAATGTTTAATTAATTGGAAGTTACACTTTCTATCATAATTGCAACTGTTATTTATTGGGAAAATAATGATAAACACAGTCTCATCCTGCCCCAGAAAACAACCCCATCATAGTGGAATAGAAAAAACAGTTTTTTCATTGAAAAGCCTTAAACCAGAATTTGATGTGCATTACAGGAATCTGCTGAGATTTCCAAGTCAGAAAGAAAATTCCCCCTATTATAGAATCAAGCATCATATTCTCAGGATAAACAAGTACTAGCCTTCAAGTAGGAAGACCTAATACCACGTGTCACACAGAGTTCAGCAAGTCGATGGCATGACCATCTGCTTTTGCTAACTGGCTTTCTTGTAAGGAAAACTAAATTTCTCAGATTTTTATGACAACAGGTAGCTTTGGACTTTGGTCAATGCCCTTGCTGAACTAGATTCCCACTCTCCAACAGAAACTGGGAGTAAGGAGTACTACGTTCCTTGATAATTATATATCAGATTTGGCTTCCCGTACTTGATAAAGACAAGCCTGGGTTGTAAAGTTGTCAAGACATTTATTCAATTTTTAAAGGGTTTATATACATTTCAAAAAAAAAAAAAAAAGAAGACAAAACTCAAACTATAAGCTTCCTAAAGTACATGTTTTAGGAAGAGGAAAAAGTGAAAGTCTTTTCCCTTATTTTCACAGGGAGAATTAGCCTTTTTTTTTTTAATGTACTTGCAATTGCAAATATAATGCTTTTCCAATAACATAAGAACAGGATATTATAAATAAAGACATTAAAACAACAAAGAAACCTTCCTATTCTACTCTTTAATTGTATATACCTCCCCACAGTATTTTTTAAATTAAAAAATTAAAAGTGTTATGCAAATAGACATTATATTATGCTACAACTTGCTCTTTTTTATCACTTTGCAAAATGTCGTGTATAGCATTGCTGGTTAGTAGATGAATAAAGTAGTAATATTTAATATTTATTGCCTTGTATACCCTAAATAATCTTATACATGCTTTATATGTTTTAATTAATTTAATCTTTATAATAGCTCTATTAGGTTAGTTACTAGTGCCTTTTCCATTTTGCAGAGAGGCAACTGAGACAGTAGTTGGACATTTTTGTCAAATTGAGAATCAAGATTATAATCTATTTTTATTTTTTAATTATTTTATTATTATTATTATTTTAAGATTTCATTTATTTATTCATGAGAGACAGAGATAGAGAGAGGCAGAGACACAGGCAGAGGGAGAAGCAGGCTCCATGCAGGGAGCCTGACGTGGGACTCATTCCTGGGACTCCAGGACCACACCCTGGTCCAAAGGCAGGCGCAGAACTGCTGAGCCACCCAGGGTTCCCCCCTATAGTCTATTTTTAAAGCTCACTGCACTCACACATTTATTACATAAACAAATTCATTTTTAATAAGCACACACAATTTCATAGTGTGGTGGTTAATTTATTTCTCAATCCCCTTTTGATATGCATTTGGGTTATTTTGAGTTATTTGAAATGAAAAAATATCCTGGAATAAATAAATTGGATCACATACTCTTTGCAAATACTAGAGCCTTGGACTGTAGCATAGGCTTCCCAAAGGAATTATGGGGCCAAAGATATGTGTAGTTTATTTCTTACCATCTAATGATAGATTAGGTTCCAAACCAGGTTAAAGTCCCTACTATTTCTCAATACTCCACCATCACTATCTCTGTTTTTCATATTTAACACAGAACCCACAGACTAAGTCATCATTATCTGCACTTCCGGTGAGCCAGAGTATTTGTGAATATTGTGATGGAGCAGCATGTTTCAAATGTGGGGTTTTTTTCCCCACTTTCATCATGTCTTTTATTTTTCTTTCATTCTTTCTTCTTTCTTTCTTTCTTTCTCTCTTTCTTTCTTTCTTTCTCTCTTTCTTTCTTCTTTCTTTTTCTTTCTTTCTTTTTCTTCTTTCTTCTTTTCTCTCTTTTTTCTTTTTTTAAAAAAATGAATGGGAAATATTCGAGAGTGAGACAAAGCATGAGAGACTCCTAACTCTGGGAAATGAACAAGGGGTGATGGAAGGGGAGGTGGGCGGGGGTATGGGGTGATTGGGTGACGGGAACTGAGCACTGGATGTTATACTATATGTTGGTAAATCAAACTCCAATAAAAAAAAAGTATACCAAAAAATGTGGGCATTTTTGCCTTCTAATCTCTTTGACCATGTCTGAAGCCAATTTTTATGGTCACAGCTAGTGCGAGGGATGCTTTTGGCATTTAGTTACTGGAGGCCAGGGGTGCTGCTAAGCATCCTACAATGCACAGGACAGCCCCTGAAACAGAATTATCCAGTCCAAAATATCAGTGATGATGAGGCTGAAAAACTCTGGCATTGATCATTTTTTTTTCATCCATGAATTTCTAGTTTGTGGTTATTTCTCCAATTTTTTTTTTGTACCAACTGTCAAAATTTGAAAATTAGAGCTATGTAAATTTCATCTTATGATACAAACATTTTTCCAGATCACTGGTGTCTTGTTGTGGCTTTTTCTTACTTGTTTTTTGGGGGTTCAGGGAGGGTGGCATTTTAAAAATTCATTTAACCATATGTTCACATTCCTTCATGGTTTCCGTATTTCTTGGCTCACTTAAGAAAATCCTCCCAACTAAATGTATACATAAAAATTTACCTAGATTTTATTGTATTTATTTTATTTTAAAATGTATTTAGATCCATATTCTCTATTTTTGTTTTTAAAAATCTTACCAAATGATGCCATCATTAGGAGCACTTATTGTCAGATTCTTAAACCACCCTTTCTATTTCAGCTATAACTTTAGACAAGCCATTTATCTATCATTTGTGGGACTAAGTTTTCAATGTTGTTATCAGTAAAGCTAGGGAGGATAATAATACATAGATTCATCAAAATTAAATGCATTAATATACAGATACTCAATAGTTGCTGGATTTTAGGACGGTGTCCTTAAACTTGACCATCATTTTCATTACTTTTCCTCATCAGCTCTATCTATAATCTTTGGCCGGTAAAAGGCACTTGATAAGTATTGGCTGAGTTCAATATATTGAGAACATTTTCCCTAGGCTGTACTGTTGATAAATATATGAATGATATAGAGATCCTGTGCTCTGGTAGCTTTTACTCAAGGAAAATAGAAATATGCCACCCGGTCTCTAATGCAATTTTCATGACCTTGTTTCCCCCTAAAGACAGCGTTAACATTATTTATTTTCATTCTGTTTATTCAATCTGTAGACAACGTGCAACAAATTTCTGCTGTTCCTGTATATGTGCAAGTTCTTAACATTAATGATCATGCTCCTGAGTTCTCTGAATACTATGACACATATGTTTGTGAAAATGCAGGCTCTGGTCAGGTAAGGACCTGCAATAAATTTCTAATGTCTAAACATTGCCATTTGTTGTATATAATCACTTTTGCTACTATTCCTCCCATTTTGAAATGATAAAAATAAGCTTCTTTTAACCATGTGAATTACTGCTTTTATGTTGTGAGTACTGTATTATTTAAATTTCTTTTTTAAAAAATAAAATGTAAGCTTCAATCATTCCACTTTCAAATTCCTCAAATGTTTGAAAATCTGCTAACACTGGGGATTCATAGTATCTTTTACACTTTGTCAATACTATAAAGAAAAATTCTGGGCACCTGGATGGCTGAGTCGGTTAAGCATATGCCTTCGGCTCAGGTCATAATCTCAGGGTCCTGGGATCAAGCACAGCATCAGGCTCCTTGCTCATCGGGGAGCCTGCCTCTCCCTCTCCCTCTGCCTGCTACTCTGCCTGCTTGTGCTCTCTCTTTCTCTCTCTGTCAAATAAAACCTTTCGAAAATAAAGAAAAGTTTTACTTTTGGTAATTCTATAGAGTAAGTGATCATATTTCAATTAATGTTTAATTTTTCATTCATCATAAAGAAACATGATTTATAAACATAAACATGAAGAGAATGAGCTGGAATTTTTTTCCTGTAGCTTATAGCTACTCTATCAGACATATCAATTTTAAAAAAAACCTAATGTCGAATGGATATTAAAGAATTTAAAGATATTAAAGATATTTAAAGAATAGAGAGTACACTTATTTTGAAACACATCACCATTACTTTACAATTTTTCCTTTCCTTCCTTCCCTCCTCTCCTCCTTCCCTCGCTTTTCTTTTTCTTTCTTTCTTTCTTTCTTTCTTTCTTTCTTTCTTTCTTTCTTTCTTTCTTTCTTTCTTTCTTGTGGAGCTCACTTTTCATCTGTAAAATAGAGCGCTTAAAGTAGATCGTTCTTTGTTTTCAGTGCAGTCCACAATAACCTTACATTTTTTCTTAGGTATCATTTGAAATCATAGAAGCCTATTAAATGTCATAAAACATCTTTAAAAATATATAAACTGGTTTTCAGAATGCTGCATGTGTATGTATGTATGTATAATGTATATATAGGAGTTTATTTGCATATATATATTTACTATGAAATCAGTTATTCTCAGTAGATTTGAATTTACCAGTGAAGCTAGTTAAAGACGATTTGGATTTCACAAAATGGAAATTCTAATTTTCTACCAATAAATAATAGTAGTCAACATTATGCTTTATTTTCAAATACTTCATATGGTAAGAAATAGGCATATTTTAAGAATGAAGTATATCTGAATGGTTATGGATTATTCAACTGTAACATAATGGGAATCATTTGTAGCTCTTAACATGTCTTGTTAAATTTATTTGGCCATGTTTATTTTAGAATACATTGTATTCCAGAAATAATTCTGAAATCTTGTCTATAACATTTCCTAATTTTAAAACAATAGTAAGATTAAGATTATAATAAATATGCAAATGAATTTAAACTTAAGCTACTTAATTTGAATTGGTTAGGACCCAGGGTTTTTGATAAAATAAAAGGTTAATATAAAACTTTCAGAGATTCTCCACCATGTGGCACTGCCTCCTTGATCCAAAATCCAACTAATTTAGAAACCTATGGACAGACAAGATAGTACAAAGGAATCACAAAAACAGAATGCAAATGACCTCCTACGCATGACTCCTATGGAAACTAACTTTAAACGTTCTTTGAACTTGGAATTATAAATAGAAGACATACTTAGAAATTTAGCATATCTGATGTTCTCAAACTTTTCAAACACATCTGTCTACCTGGATACATCAACAAATATAATAAGCTTAAAATTAAAGTAATTTTGGACATAACTTCTCTAACAATTTTCTAAATCTCTACATATTATATTTACATGCTGAAGATAGCTTGTATTTTGATAATTACTAGAAGAACAATTACATTTTATAGTTATTAGAACTATATGTGTTAAATTTGTATATTTTATAAGCATTACATAAACATGAATGTATTCAGAGTGCCCCCTGATGAGGTGGCCTATTTTCAAACTTAAAAAAATAGGCTTAATTTACTTCATTTCCTATACACTTATTTTTATAAATGTCCTGTGTAGTAGGTCCACTTACCCAATAAAATTGCATGTTCAATGGTCTTATCTGGCTGAGGTGGGCAGAAGATTTGGGAAGCAACACAGTTTAAATAAGAGACCTGACACCAGATATGGTAAACACTACTAAGGATGATGCTACCTAATTCGGTTGATCACATTGGATCTTTCATTTTAACTCCTCAAATTGTTCATAACAACTATAATCAATCATGTTTATAATAACCTTTTTCAACTTTAGCATTTTGTGAAAAGATGGAAATGTACATTTCTAATAGAAACTAGAACTATACTATTGATTATATTAGAATCCACTCATATCTTTACTGACTCAGTGGATCATTCATTCTTTTCACGGATTCTGGCTCATAGGCAAGAACTCAGAAGTTGGTACATTTGGAATATTGTGGAATACTTCCTTTGTTGATATTGAGAATTTGTTTTTTCTACTTCCTGCTCACTGACAGTGACCATGGGAGGCTTCAGGCATTAGGCAGAGATAAATTTACAGCAAAGGGCAAAGCAGACTAATTTCCTACAGCACAGTTTTCTGACTTTCATGCTCAAAATCTTCAGTGGATTTTCCAATACCAGCATGGAAAAATACAAAATTCACTAGCCTGGGATTTAGCGCTTTCTTTGATTTGGTCACAATTGTATCTATCTTGCTTTAAAATATATATATCCTATTCACACTTTGAATTGCTTGTCTTTCAAAATGCAAATTATGGTTTCTACTCGGGAGTTTGCTCATATCAACCTTTCTTCCTGAAGTGCCCCCGTCAATTCCTATTGGAATTTTAACTATACTGCAAAATTGAACTCAAATGCCACATAATCAAATGATTTTAAACAAATATATATTTACAACATCTGAGACATGACTCTAGCAACATTATCAAGATTAAAGCAATTCTCAAAAATGCTCAAAAAAAAAAATTGTGAGGGAACTCTATCATGTGTCTAATTTTCCGAGTGAAGAAACTGAGGCCGAGGGAGTGCTACTTCCTAAGTAAGGACAGAGAGATATTTTATCCCAAGTGCTGGCATCAGAATCCATGCATGTTACTATTATATTTTGTTGCCTCTTTATCCATAGTTTGAATCGATCTTACATGTTTGTGAAATGAGTCACTTCTAGTTTCATGTGCTTTCTAGATTCCGAGATACTTGTGAACAATGAATGAGTTTATTTTTATATTCTTGACAACATGCATTGCAGTTCCCAATAATAACTAGTTGAATAAATGAACAGAGCATGAAGACATTAGTTCTTGAAATAAAGAGTATTTTTTTCAATAATTCTCTGGAGATATGTTTGAATTTATTAGCCTTGTAGTTGATATTTAAAACTTTGCAATGTGATGAGATTTCTTAGAGAGTAAGGGCAGAGACAAGAATCAATCCACAGATTGAGACCCAGATACTCCAATATTAATGTTTGGGATTTGGGACACACTAGGAAATAAACTTTGCAAGGAGCAAACTAGGAGAGTATGGTGGCATGGAAACTAAAAAAATATATTCCAAGGAGGAAGGGGTATTACCTGTTTTATTTGCTGCTTTCAGGTCAAGTAAAAGCAGAAAAGAAAAGATCCCATTAAATTTAAAAATAGAGATTTTAGACTTACTGGAATATTTGTAGGTAATATTTGTAGTGTATGTAATGTCACCCAGGAAGAAAATAAAAAGTGTGAATATGAGAGAACATAGGACAGAACCTTTGGGAATAGCAATATTTAAGGAGTCAGTAAAGAAAGAGAAGCTTGCAAAGTAGACTGAGTAGGTGGGACAAGTAACGTAGGAAAGAAACAAGAGTTTTGATGAGAACATGCATGAGTATAACAGTTTTTGAGGAGGAAGTGTCAATAGACTTAATTCCCACTATTCCAGGAAAAAAAAATCATCCTCACAGTTTACCATATGGTCAAATTTACTCTTTAAAAATATGTAATTTTATAAGTAATTCACAGCTATATAAATAAAATGACAGTGCAAAACAACTTGACTAGAATGTGGCAAAGAGAAATTTCACTGGACATTTGTTAGGAATGGCAAGGAAGATGTTTTCCAGATTGTTGAAATAAAAGTCAAGACTACTGCAATAAGGGAGACAAATGAACCCAACTGTTGAAACAAAATTCAGGAGAGTTTTTGAAAGCTGGGCTGAGATAGTGAAAAGGGACTAGAGGACATGTGTGGGAGGGGGAGGTTGGTCAGTGTGATTAGGCCAGCTGTGTAACTGGCTCCTAGAGAAGTTAGGCTCTCACCCTCCCATAGTGACTGAGATATAGGGGTCCTATCTTACTTGATATCTACATTTCAAAGGGATGGCTTTCAGGCTTTTAAGAAAGATCATCAAGCATCACAAAATTGGAAGAGTTTGGGAGATCAATCTACATTACAAAGGGGCAGAGAAAGAATTTGCAATGAGAAATTGTCTCTTGTAATTGTTCAGAGAAAATGGAGGTAAGGAGCTTCTAGTGAGGAAGAAACCTGTCTAAAATTGAGTCTTGGTCAAGTGTTAACAAAATGTGAACGTGGCAAATACGTATTTGTCAGTATTTAATACTTCGAGAAGTTTAAAATATTCTTTACAGCTCATATTTTTGTTGAAGGAAGAATGACTATCTTGCTCTATGATTGCAAAGCATTTAATCTTTAAATTTATAAACAGCAAATATAATAATCTAGTTAAAAAGAAAAATCCCATTGCATTCCCTTCCTTCCGGTTACATTTAGATACATTCTGCCTTCAGCAGTTTTCCATTTGCAAGATAAATCAAGTAGATTTTGGTGCACAACATTTATAAAAGAAGAGAAAATACTGACACATTTATTTTTAGCAAAGCAGAACAGCCCAGATTCTTATCGCAAAATATCGTGTGATGAAGTCCTTC